CTGCTTGTACAGCTTGAGAAAAAATGGTTCTTTAAATGTCTTAATTTAAATTTGCCTCATCTATACAAAACATGTTGGTATTCATTAAATTCCAGTGAAATATATTTATGTTTGTGGTTGTAATGTGACAAAATATGGAAAAGTTCAAGGGGTATGAATACTTTTGCAAACCACTGTATTTGGCCCATATGTAAACTGGTGATGGGGATGTAAATTGTTTTACATCCAAGCAGTTGGCTCAACTGGAGTAAGCACTACTTGCCATAAATGGTGATATCACAAGTACAGCAACAGCTGATGTTGTGGAAATCTTTATTTATCCAAGACAGAAACACGTGGTCCAAGAATAAAAAGTACTCTGTGGAATGGTCATCAGGATTTATTGCATATGCAGACACACACATCATGTCACACAGGGCAGTGGTACATAGAATGTGTGCAATGAGGCAGTCTCACATACACTCATTTATATAGCACGTTATCCAAAATAGACTATAAACATCTCTCTTGGCACCAAGGAGAACATGATATTTGATAAAGTATCCAGCAAGAATGATTACTTATAACAGATTTTGTCCTGATCTTAAAACACTGTCTGAGAGAAAACACAATACAAACTGTTAGGTCATAAACCCTGCTGACACTTAGGTCAGCAAAAGAGGTCACTGACACTTGTCCTGAGAAGAATCTGAGAGAAGGAGATATTCAAGTTATTTTTCTATCACAGCTAACAGTTGCTACAGCATCTGACAGTTTGTGAAAATGTTGGAGATGAAAATTGCAAATGTACATGAGGCAATATTATCACAGAGAATAAATGCCCAACTTTCTTTCAAAATAAGCTTTGACAGGTCAAACAAAAGAAATGTTGCAAAGGTCACCAGTATGACCCCGGGTTCATGAGAGTGCCCCTAGGAGACAGAGGTCTGACCTTAGTGGTTATCTTACTATTAATTACATCAATCAAGAGTAGTTTTTAATGAATGGTTCTGAGGCTTCTTTATGTATTTAGACAAACATTTTGTCATGTCAGGAACTAGATTCCCTCTCCTCTTTAAGAATAATAGTTGTCTGTTCTGGTACACTTCCTGTGGTATTTAGACAATAAATGTTCTGTCACATCTACCCCGGTCACCTCAAGTGAAATAATCAAGGAAACTGTCTTTGACCCCAGGCCTCGGCTGGGCCCTAAAATGAGACAGAATTCTGTTCCACTTAAGACTGAATTTAAGCCGCCACAGGTCGCCTTGACTTGTACAAGAGACATTCTCTTTTTCTTAATCAAATAATAATCAGAATAAACTTCTTTTTTATTTGATTTATTTTTCTCTTAACCATGAGTATGAAACATTTTGATAATCATAAAACAATGTTTATCAAGTTACAGGAGAAAAGAGAACCGGCTTTTCTCCCTCAATGTGATTTCAGCTATATTATGGATTTTTTCTGTGGACATTTCTTATTTAGCTAAACTAATCATTATGGTTTAAGTTGATGAAACATCAATATTTTATTTGTCTAAATCATATAGCAAATGTTTTGAGTTTGAAGTAAATCATTTTTTCAGTCATTATTTTTAAAGAGTTCTAATCAGAGAATAGCTCAACTGGTCAAATGATGTGTTTTTGTTTGTGAACTACACAGATTATAATAATGTATGTTTAAAGATAAGTTGGCATCTTGGCAACTTCTGAACTAACATTTCTCTTATCTCTGTACTAACCTTGTCGGCTCAAGGCAGAACTAAAAAACCCTCTTTAAATGACTAACACAGTTTCCGCCCAAGAGTCAGAGACGAACATCCCTTCCATCAACACTGAACAGCTGTGTTCTCTGGACTGAGAACCAGAGCTTAAGTTGTGTTGGTTCTACCCTTTATTGCCAATGAGGAACCACACGGCCAGACACGGCCAACGCCTGGAGTGTCCAAATTACAAGTGTAAAGCTCATATCAACTTAATTAAAAATCTTCTTGCCGGAAGAGTTTTATTTTGATACCGGGATCCATCTTGGGCCTCGCCTTTCTTCCTACAGCTTGACGTGGAACAAGGAACGTTTCTCCAAGTCTTTCATGTACTGTTGTGTGGTGTAGGCCAACCCATTCTCACTCCCGAGTCGTCACATATTGACGTTTTTCAAAGGTCCCTTTGCGTCCAATTTTGACGCATCAGGTACCCCCCTCGCGTCATATTTTGACGGGATGGGGCGGAATCTGTTGTCGTAATTTCTGAAAGTGTAGAAAATGCACAAATACTACCGT